CCATGAGGTTCCCCTTTGCCCAGCTCTCTAGGATGTCTTCCTCGGGTCTGGGGAGAAGGGAGGAGGTTGGGCTGTGGGTAGTGACAAGGTTTTTACATGTTGTCCGTACACGACTGTGGGAATTGCACCAAGACTTGGGCTCCGTTCACCGGAAGAACTCGAGTTCCTTAATTTTGTGGTTCCTTAGCTTCTCAAGCCCCTGAGCGGTCCTTAGGCTCCTGCACGGTCTCTGCGAAGGAGCCGCTTGTGTTCTGTTCCCTGATGCACGAAATCTTGTCTTTACTGTGGTGTGTGTGCCGGGACAGGGCTCATAACGAATCTGCAACTTTGGTGGTTTTGCAGGAACGGAGCAGAGAGCCTGACACTCCCCTCTGTTGCAAAACACTTTTGCTTCAGCGCTCGGAACGATTTGCTTTCCCTTGGGATGGCCTTAGGGAATAGCAACGAGCCTGGGATTGTTTTGGAAAGCGAATATGGTTTAACGTAAGGTTTTTGTGCTCACTTTTTTTTTTTTTTTTAATGCTAGGTTTGTGCTCGCTGTGGGCAGCGCAGTCTTCGATGCGATGTTTAACGGTGGAATGGCCACAACTTCTACAGAGATCGAGCTGCCTGACGTGGAGCCTGCTGCCTTCCTAGCTCTGCTGAAGTAAGCCTCTTCTAACGTACGATAGAACCGGGATGAACGGGTTTATTGTAGAGAAAGATGTTTTTAATGAAAGCAGTGAACCGTTTTGGAGAGAGGAGATCATTATGTTTCCAAATAAAACGCTGCTTTGTTGCTCTGTTCAAGAACATTTAGATGCTGGTGTTAAATCCCTCTTTTCCTGGGTAAGTCTAGTGCACAAAAATCCCTGACTTGCTCCACGTTGTGCTTTAGCAGTAAAACAAACGTGCCCTCCTGCTGCCCATGTGCAGTGTGGGAAAAACTAAACCAGGTGGTTTAGAATGTTGTGATTGTATGTATAACTACACCACACAAACACAGCAGCAGAGAGGCGTTCAGCTGGAATAAGCGCACGTGCTGGCCCTCGGAGTTGGGTTGATACTCCCCTGTTCAGACGTCGCCTCCGAAATTCTCGTTTCGTGAATTGGTTTGGTTTGACCCAAGCGAGAGGAAAAGTAATCCTCTTAAAGCTCTTGTGAGTTACAAATGCTCGGAGCTCATTTAGGTAAGTTACAAATACTTGGAGCTCGTTTAGGTTCTGGGCAAAGGAGCAAGTTGTAACAGGTAAGCGAGGGTATGAAATCAACGTCAGCTCTTCTGCGTGGTACCTCCCCTCGTGTACGTTTCATTCCTCTTGTGGTTTGGAATTTACATTTGCCTCACGGAGAAGGGCTTGTAACATCCTGTTCACCAATTCCTTTAAGCTCGGCTGGTGCTGTGTGACATCCTGAAAAGTCATTGTCCCGTTTCTATAGGATTTCTGTAACCTATTTCCAGGGGTTTCCAGTCCTGTGCTCTTGACACGTTCCCCGCTTGCCTCCTGGTGGGAGCAATGCCTATATATAGCTCTGGCACGCTTTTTGCTTTACCTTCAAAAGCTGCTTCGGTCGTGACTGTGCTGTCTTAGAAGATGTAAAAATTGATCTTTACTAGTAATGAAAGGCCAGAAATAATAGGGAGCCCTTAGCCCCGCTCCGCTTTGGCTCTTTTTAAACGAGACACCAGCACATGGGGAATCCCTGTCAGCCACTTTGGGCTCTCTGGAGCGTAGAGTTAGTATGTGTCTTTAAAACTTAGACTAAAATATTGAGTGTATTAGAGGCCAAGTCATGTTGTTTCCCCACTGGTGCTGAGAATTCAGCCCTTGTATAAGCAATCTTGGAAGAGAAGCATCATCTGAAAAGAGTGAAGTGATGAATTTAGGTGGATTTCGACAGGAATATTTAGATTTTGTAGAGGAGAGATTGCGTGCGGATTACCACAGCACCTCTAAAGCTTGGAGTTAGGCTGCGGTAGCTCTTCACGTGATTCAGTGATATCTTAGATGCTGAAATGTGGAACTGAGCTGTCGCTTATTTTAAAACGCTCAAAGCTGAAATGTGCCAAAGGAAGTTTGGGTGCTGTGTTCCAGTAGGAAGCTTACCGAGAGCAAAACCAGTCCCTCCAGTGATCTGAAATGGCAGCTAATCCTTACAGATGTCTCTGGACCCCATCCAAGCCGTGACCGAATGGAGTAGGATCAGGAGCTTATCAAGGGACACCGTGCCCATCCTCAGTGTTCAGCAGAAGGTCCCTTCTGGACAAGAAGTTGTGATTGTTTTTGTGGGCTGGGGGCCTTTCACAGGTCTGGTAACCCAAAGAACATTTGTATTTTTTTTTTTTTATTGTCTGAGGTTAGAATCTAAATCTTTTAAATTGATAACTACGCTTTTTCGCGGTTTGAGCCTCTCTTGGTATCCCTCTTCACACAAACCATTTGGACTGTCATAAAAATAAACAGCAACGGTGCAGTAAATAGAGCTAGTTGTTTTTAGAGCGACTGTGTTCTTTTAATCTCATAACAAAAAGGATTACTCAGTGAAAATAGAGCTGGTGAAGGGATGTGTGCAAAATGCGTTCATGAGCCTGTGGCTCGGTGCTGTTATTAACAGATGCTCTAGAGCAGCACAAAAACCTGCTTTCAACGGCGACGAGAGCACTTCCCTTCCTCTGAATCTGAATTTATGCTTCCCCACGTCACGGCCCAGCCCTTGGTAGCCGGAGGAGCAGGAGCAACGTGGGGCAGGGGCAATACTCGGCGTCCCTGGAGAAGAGCCCCGCTGCCACGTGGAGCCTCTGGTGTCGCAATGTGTCGCTGGGCCGCCTGCGGAGGAGGGAACGCGGGAGGAGGAATGGCCGGAGTCTCCGAAGCAGCCCATGGAGTAGGAATGCTGAGCACAGTTAATGTGTTTAATATCACGCCCCTGTGCTTCGTGCCGGTCAGATCCCGATCGGCAAAAGCCTTCGGCTGGTTAACGGAGAAACAGCCAACGAAAGCTCCGCCTGGGGTTAGGACTGACACCAGTGTGGAGCTGGTTTTACTGAGCCCAGCCTGCCAGTTCCTGCTTGAATACTTGCTTGGCGATGAGGAGGCTCTGTCAGACTTCCTCCGCAGACCTTTGTTTTTCTGCGTGGTGTGAATGTGTTTCCTTGGTTTGGCCTGATGGTAAAGGCTGATGCTTTGCTAGCAGCGAGGCAGCCACAGGATCACGGAGTCGGCAAGGTTGGAAAAGACTTTTCAGATCATCAAGTCCAACCATGAACCTGACACTGACAAGTCCTCAGCTGAATCGTACTCTGAGCGCTCGGTCTGCCCCACTTAAATACCTCCGAGGACAGGGACTCCACCTCTGCCCTGGGCTCCACCTGAAAACCCTGTCAGGAAAGCCGTTCTTCCTAATGTCCAACTTAAACCTCCCCTGGCACAACTTGAGGCCTTTTTCTCTTGTCCTGGGCAACGAGCTCCAGCGAACGACTTTTAAGAGGCAGCAACTGCCAGGAGCTTACTCAAGGGGAAGAAGAGAAAACTTTCTTGTTTTTCCCTTGTTTTTCATGGCTATTAACTCTCACTTTATGCTGAGGTCACGTTGTGCACTACACTTTAACATCATAGAATGTAATGGAACAGCTCGGGATGTAAAGCGAAGAGGCGAAGGGGGCTCAGGGTGCGGGTAAAACCCCTCGCGTGAGGTGGGTCCGTGTGTTCGAGCGCTTGTGGTCACTTCTGAATTAGTACGTAAAACGGAGCTGCTCTTCTGAAGCAGGCAGGCAGGACTGAGTTCTTGTCCTTGGGTCATCTAATTGAAAAAGCCCCAAAATGTTAATTTTATGAAGAGGTACACTTGGCCAGAGGCTGTTTTAGCCTAGCTGAGCAGCTCACTGGCTGTGGGATAATAAGCAGTTCGAGGTGCTTCAGCAGATATCCCAGCTATTCCATTCATTAAAAGTTACACTGTAAAGAGTATGGTTCTTTTTCTTTTTTTTTTTTTTAAAAAAGAGTTTCTCCTTGGTGTGTCAGAGTCAGTGGAAAGGCTGAAAACCCTTCCATCTCTCAAGCATAGGAAAAGAGGCCAGGATGATGGTCAGAAACACAGACTTCTTTTTTTCTATGAATTGCAAAGTTTTTACTTCACTGCACCAACACTTGTTTGCATGTTTTCAGATTCCTTTATTCAGACGAAGTTCAGATTGGACCAGAGACTGTTATGACAACACTTTACACTGCTAAGAAATACGCAGTTCCAGCCCTTGAAGCTCACTGTGTGGAATTTCTTAAAAAAAACCTCCGGGCAGACAACGCCTTCATGCTGTTAACACAGGTGAGTTTGCAATCGCTTGCATTAAGTCCCTCGAGCAAGGCCCATCACAACAGAGAAAAAGTTTTCTGCATCTCATGGAACATCTCATCTAAAATGAAGCAGTTCTGTGTCATTTTGAATTCTTCCTTCCAGGGGTCAAGCACTGATGAGCAGGTTCTTACAAAGAACAATAAAATACAGCAAACGCTGCTGCCGTTTCAGATCTGCTTTCTCTTTCGGTGTAGCAGGTGATTCCTTCCAGAGCGTGAGCCGGGGAAGAAATTAACAGGTTGGAAAAATTTCCTCTGCCAGAAAGAAAAGTGAACTGAGAGGATTTTTGCGTGTTCACATTCAGGAGAGGTGTACCCAGGTTTCTCTGGTGCAAAGCTTGCTGCGCTCGCCGGTCAGAGCTTCTTTGAAGGGCTCTTTGGTGATAGTTTCCCTGAAATGGGGGTGAGAGAAGATGCAGCTTTTTTCATGACTGCTTTGGCTTGTTTTCCGAGGAGAGGAGCAAAGGGATCTCTTCCTCAGCCTCTTCCGGCTCAGCCTCCTGCTGCACCGAGGGCACCCAAACGCAGAGTTTGAGCGCGGCTGTTCCCCGCCTCTTCGTGAGGCCCTTCGCACATCCTGGTGCCCCTCTGTCTGCTCTGATCGGTGAGGGCTGGAATCCTCCCTCTCCCCTTTGGTTCTTCTAAGCTGCCAGCTCGAAGACAGCATTTGCAACTTCTTTTGGAGAAGGTCAGACGTTGCACACGGGTTGATTGAATTAGAACCGTTATCCTTCCTGCTTCCTAGCTTCGGCTTTTCTTTCTGATCCCTGCTGCCCTCTCTGCTGACACCTGATGATGTCTCAGGGATTTGCAGGGTGAGGCGGTGCCAGGAAGAAGCAGCACAGGCGTCACCTGTGGGAATGAGCACGCTTTTGACTAGCTCTGAAGGAAGATTTCTGATCAGGCAGCTGTGATTTCTGATTTTAAACGTCGCTGAGGAATTTTCATGGCTGCTGTCACTTGGGAACCGGCACGCTGTGGTGGTCTGGCTCTGAGGGGTTGTCCTGCCTTGCCCAGAGTATCTGTCTGCTGTTTCTTTTCTTCCTTGGGAGAGGTACAAGTGTCCTTCAGACTCTGACTGTAGTTACCACATCGGCGGCAGCAGTTTTTGCAGAGGTTGAAGCGGTGTTGGCCCGAAGCTCTGCTGAGCTCTTTGCTCGTTTGCTGCGTTTAGGCTGGGATTTTATTTGAGTTTAAATATTTGGATCAAGTTCTCAAAGTGGTTCCACATGACACTACTGTTGTAGAAACTCTTCACTGCTGGGGTTCAGCTCTTGCTCCAAAATACCATATCCCTCTTTTCATGTCTTTTTACATGCCTTAAACAGGCAAGGCAGCCTCTGTGACACAGGGGTCACCACGCTGCACTTCCCACGGAGGATTTAGGACTTAAAGATTCTGGCTGGGGTGACAGTAGCCAAATCCAGGCACCTCTCTGGTGCGTGGTGGGGTAATTGTAACTCACAGGCTGCAGCTCTCCCGTTTGTTCTTTGGGTTCAGCTGTCCGCAATCCAAAAATCAGGAGCCGTTATCCAAGAGCTGAGGAGAGATCTTTCCCGTAGGCTGCAGCTTTGAAGAGGCATCTTGCGCTATCGCCATCACCTCGGGAGGATTAGAGGTGTCAGCTCTCTGCCGCTGTTCCTTGCACAGGGAGTTTGTAGCACACTAAGTCTCTGCAACCTGACTCTGCAGCTTTCTCGAGGTAACATTTAGGTTCGTGGTGACTTCCTTACAAACCGCAAAGGTCCTTCTTTGGCGGCAGAGGAAGGCGTCCTAGTTTTTCGGATGTCAAACCCAAGATGCTGCCTGGCACTCTGTCAGCTGCACTGGGCCGGCTGAAGTGCCAGATGGAGACAGGCTTCCCTCGTTCCTTTTGTTTGTGGCTTATCCATTACGATTAATCATCATTAGTGATTTGTAGCTGGTTTATGTTCACTGTGGCAGTAGGAGGCTGGTGTTCTTTGAGAAATGTATCTGTATCTCGATGTCTGGCTGCAGGAGGCACCTCCCTTAATGGATCTTTTTGCGAAACACCCTCACTTCTGGTCCTTCGGTGTGAAAATCAGCCAGTTCCCTACTTTAACTGCAACAAAGGGACAATTTGTACAGTCAGTTGCAAAACTGAGATGCATCATATACAAAACGTTTCCCAACAGGCTTAAAAGCATCGAGCCCCAAACATCCTTTGTGTGTCTCACTGCTGGGTCCTGTTGGTCCAGGAACTACATCGTGGATGGCATTTCAGGCAACTCCTACTCTGACAGAAATACCAGTGGCAAATAGCTCTCCTAACTGGTTGTTCCTCCTAGTGACCGGTGATCCTCTTCCAAGCCAAATGTCACCTTGATCAGCAAGGAAATGATAGCTTGCCTGGAGCCACGGTGGGGGAAACCTCTGCGAGCATAACACAAGTCCTTCACGTGTCGAAAGAGAGCCGCTACGGGAGTAGAGTCTGAGTCAGTCGCAGCTCTTGGATGCCAGGAGCGTAAGGCACTGGCAGTGCTCCAGCCCCGGGAGCAGGGGATGACTGCTGACGCGTCCCCGGTCCCTGAGAAGATGGAGAATCGTTTCCACCCTCTGCTCCTGAGGTCTTGGCATCGGAGGTCGGCCTTGTTGAGCTCTGCGGCCTGCAAGTGAGGGTGAAGCGAAAGGTGCTCGTTAGCACCAGGGAATCACTCTGGGAGCGACTGAGTTCCCAGCCCAACACAGTTTTTTAAACTTTACCCGTGGAGTGAGTTCTGACTCCCAGCGCGCTTTTGTGTGATGTTAAGGCAGTTCCTTCCTAAACAGCAAAACCAAAGCACTGGACTGAAGAGGTTGTCTTTTCTGCCTTCCCACCTCATTTCTGCTTGTGCTGGGCGCAGGCTCAGCAGCACGTCTGGGTGCTGCAGGGAGTTCTGAAGCCGTAGTGAAATTGTTACGAGCCTGCGCTTAAGCTGGGCAGAGAGATTCTGAGCAAGCTTCCGAGCTGTGTTTGGAATAGTAACCTATTTTGGGGGGAATTCTTTAAGGTGACTGAAAACATACAAATGCACTAAGACCTGCTGAAACCCCCTGGGGTTTTGCACAACGAACAGTGTGCCCGCTAAGGCGTTTTCGCTAACACATGAGATCAGCTTGGCCACGTTCTTACGCAACAAGCTGTCTCTGCATATTGCTGGAGCGGGCAGGCCTGGAGTCATTGGGCAAAGCTTTCTTCTGAATAAAAAAAACCAATGCAGGAAAAATTATGTTCGGCTGACAGGGCCGGGCTGGCGCTGGGAAGCGCCCCGGCCGTGTTAACTGACGTGATGTTAAAACAAAGACGTGCCTGAAGACATGCACAGCTAAACCGGAGCCGATGCCAAACGCGGATTTTTCTAGTGTTTGCCTTGTCATGCTTAACCACTTGTGAAAGGCCGCCGCAGCCCAGCGGATTCGGGACGCGGTCAGGCATAGTACTGCTAATGAAGATGGGCGCTGGGAGAGAAAGGGGGGGTTCCTTACTCAGCTTTTAAAGTACCTTTTGTGTCACTGACTGCTTCTTCGTTACTAGGCGAGACTTTTTGACGAGCCTCAGCTGGCCAGCCTCTGCCTGGAGAACATCGACAAGAACACGTCGGATGCCATCAATGCCGAGGGGTTTACAGACATTGACCTGGGTAAGCTGATTTTTGCTTTTTTTTCCCCCCCACCCCACCTCCCTCCGCCTGCTTTTCATAACGAGCCGGCCTCTAAAGTTACGACAGGTCAATACTTGGCACTTCTGTGGCTCCGCTGTTGCGGAGCAATCTGGTGAGCGAAGAGTCTGTGGCACTGAGTGGCTGGAGACGAGGCGTTTTTGCGAAAGAGCCTGCTCGCTTGCAGAAATATCCTGGAATCTGCTTACTTTGGTGCAGCTTGAGCTTTCTGGGCACGATACAAAGCCCATTTCCTCTGTTGATGTTGGCACGTTTGGGGTGGGTGTAACTCGCCTCCTTTTGCAGAGCTGGTGTTGTTCCCTGAGCCTTTGTCAGGTTTTGGAGTTAAAAAGGTGGAAGCAGGAGCTGGCTGTTTTAATGACCTTACGCAGCTTTCAGATTTGCTGTCGCAGTTAAGAAACATTAAAATTCAGATTTTAACCTTCTCCTAACGAGATGGAGGTAAGGCATGGCTGACCTTCTGGCTTTCCTGCTGCTCGCTTCATCCAAATTTCACATCAAGTAAGTTGCAATTCATTCTCCTGCACTCCCATTAACACGCCAATTAATTGGGCACCCTGTGCTGCTCCAGCGAGTTCCTTGCTTGTGGAGTACGCAGATCGATCAGAGGCTGCTGGCAGCACTTTGGGGAGATGTATTTTTTCTCTTTGGAGACGTAGGGTGCTGCCGGCGAGGTAAAATCGGGTGGTTTGGGCCAGAGCCTGAAGTTGTCACTCTCTGTCCTGTCTTGCAGACACCCTGGTGGCAGTGCTGGAGAGGGACACCCTGGGCATCCGGGAGGTCCGTTTGTTTAACGCAGTGGTTCGCTGGTCGGAAGCCGAGTGTCAGCGGCAGCAGCTTCAGGTGATTCCAGAGAACAAGCGGAAAGTTCTGGGCAAAGCGCTTTCTCTTATCCGCTTCCCATTGATGACTATTGAGGAGTTTGCAGCAGGTAACTGAACAAAGGCATTTCTGGCAACCCTGGTATTTACTTTCTCTGAACTACAGAGCATCGAGTACATTAAAATGGATTTTCTCTGTGTGTCCTGCAGTAGTTTAAATTCGAGGTTATGCCCCGTTCCCAGAGAATCTGCTGGGTAAATGCTCTTTTCACCCTCTTGTTCTAAAGGCTGCGCCGCTCCCTCAGCAGCGATCAGTCGGCTCGTAGCTGCCCGTACTCCTGGTGTGTTTGGGTGGCGACTTTCTCATTCAGCTGAGTAAAGATCCAAACAGACTTTCACATGCTTTCCTTTCGAACCATCCCAAGCACTACACGGAGCTGATGGAATCGCACATAATTGGTGTTGATTGTCGCCTGCTCCCAGAGAGAAATGAGGACGCTTTGCCCCATCCTCTGTTTGCTGCCGCCTGCAATTCAGCGCTGGCGCGCGGTCGTGTCTCGCTGACGCTGTTGGGAGCGGAGCCTCAAAACAGGAAAAAACGTTAGAATTGTTCTGTGGGCTGAGGGGCTGGCGTTGTTCAGTTGTTTAGTCTGCATCTCAAAGCGTTTTTCAAGTTGACGTTCACATCCCGATCTACATTTAGCAGTTTTGACTAAAGATTCCTTTGTTTTGTTTTCGTTGCCTGTTGTCTTTGACATCATCCTCTGGTGATTCTCCAGGGATGGAAAAATTGGCAATCTGGCTTTTTTTTGGTTGTTGTTCTTTTGCTGAAAGGCACTCTGGAGCCATTCTCAAAACCGAAACTTTTAGGCTGTGGTCATGTGTACAAAGAAGCAAAAAGGGCACTGACACCGCTTCCTTGGCCAGTCGCTTCTCAAAGCAGAGGAGGCATCAGCGTACCGACCCTTACTGGGCTGCCGGCCCCAGTTGGGTCGTTGGGTGGTCTCCCTGCTTCGAGAGAGGCTCCCAAGTTCCACTTTAACCTGAAAGATGAACAAAAGAAACCCCAAACATGGGAGGCTGCGCAGGTCAGCTCTTCCTTAACCAAGGGACTGCCTAGGAATTGCTTCAGCTTTTCTGAGGGACTCTGATTTCCTTGGTGACCACAGCAGAGGCAGGAGAGGGAAACCACTCCCCTCTGGTCCCATCTCCCAAAAGAGGAAAAAAAAAAATAATATTTTTACAGGCGGTGGTTTCACCAGTTTATTATATAACCTCATATCAAGCGAGGAGTTTTGCATGAAGGTGTTTTAACTGGCAAATGCGACGCTCCCCTCAGAGCAAGTAATTTGAAACATTTGAGAATCGGATTGTGGCAACACGGGATAAGTTCAGACACGATCAGCGAGTTCTGCTGAGAAACGTATCCACGAGCTCATTTCGCTGCTAACACCCTACTTCCTCGAATTCTTTCATCTCCACCTCTTGCAGCCTTGGGACCACGTCAGGTCTGTGGAACCTTGTGCTGAATTTAACCAACTCCAGGTCGTTTTGGCCCAGCAAAGGAGTTGGGCATTTGCCTTCCCCGTTAGAAACCACTTAACGCTGTGATGTCTCCAGTAGTCTTGTTTCTGTTGAGAGCCTCTTGCAGGTGTGGAGCAGCTTTTGACTGTTACACTAAAAAAATAATGATCTGCTTCCACTTTTCGAAAGTATTTGAAGTGGTTTCTAAAACTTGAGTGTAGCATCACTTTGGTAAAATCACTGAGTTACTGGAGAACAGCGGAGAACGTGTTTCAACTCTCCCTACGATTGCTAGCATTTTTCCTTAGGTTCCACGATAAAGGTGGTAAAAAACCCCAAAAACCCAAAGCAAGGATTAAACGCCCGAGCCGAGGGAGGAGTCACAGAATCAAAGCAGGGCATGAGCCGAACCTCCTTTGTCTCAACTGAAAAGCAGAAAGAGTTGGTGGTAACCAGGTGCCATCGCCTCCTCCTGCCCCTTGGGGGCTTTTGTGGTATCTTAACAATAACCTTATAAAATCCCATGTCGATGTGTGAAAATCTTACCAGTATTAACACCTCCTGAGGGAGCAGGGGAAGGATTCGCTGTGCGTTTTCGGGTTTGAAAGCAGCCCGGTTAGCCAAACGCGTTGTGGCTCTGCAGAGCTCGAAGGCGGGTGGTCAGGTTCTTCCTCCCCTCTTCTCCTCCCTTGCCTAAACCCCGCGAAGGATCCCTCCTGGCTTTCCGAAGGCTGACGGTGTCGCTCCTCTGCAGGGCCTGCGCAGTCGGGAATCCTCACGGACCGGGAGGTGGTGAGCCTACGGGGACCCCGAAGCCGCGGGTGGAGTTCATCGACCGACCGCGCTGCTGCCTGCGGGGGAAGGAGTGCAGCATCAGCCGATTCCAGCAGGTGGAGAGCCGCTGGGGGTACAGTGGGACTAGTGACAGGATAAGGTCAGCTTCTCTGCTAATTCTGCTGCTGATAGATTTCGTGTTTTCCCAGCTTTGAGCCCGCTGGGTTACGTGCTCGACCCGACCTCCCCCGTACAACCCCTGGCGCAGGCTCCGAAGGGAGAAGAGCGGGTTGCTGGGCAAAAGCGGCGCCTTGTGCCTTACCCTGCCCGCTCGACCCGACCTCCCCCGTACAACCCCTGGCGCAGGCTCCGAAGGGAGAAGAGCGGGTTGCTGGGCAAAAGCGGCGCCTGGTGCCTTACCCTGCCCGTGCAGCTGCGCCTGCCCCTTGACTTCTCTTTTGGTGAAGGTTTCTGGCTCCCACGGGCCTCTCGTGGGGGTTATTTCTCTCCTTTTCGAGTGGCTTTCTGCAGTCGTACGGGCCCCGGGTGGGTGG